CTAGAAGGTCCTTCCTCCACTGGGACCTCGTCCTCCTCTATCGCCAGCCCTCCAACGCTTCCAACTTCTCTTCCTCCTACTGGGGTGTGTTCTCCTCCCTCCCTTCCGTTATCTCCTGGAAGCCTGCTGGACTTCCTCCCCACCTCCGCAGGGCCCGGCAGGAGGAGGAACGAGTTCAGCAGCTTGCTTTCGCCAGCCCGATCAGCGAGCAGAGAACTTCTGCCGCTCCTCCTCCTTCCGTCAAAATGACAGCAGGGGGGATGCCGGAGCGCTCACAGTCAACCGTGTCTGGGCAGCAGCAGGAGCAGCAGGAGCAGCATCAGCAGCAGCAGCAGCAGCAGCAGCAGCAGCAGCAGCAGAAGCATCATCATCATCAGCAGCAGCAGCAGCAACAACAGCAGCAACAGCAGCAACAGCAGCAGCAGCAGCAGCAGGTCTCACCTCCTCCTTCCCTGAGGAATCATAGCACTCATGCGGATGGCTACTCCGACGACTGCATCTCCATCGGCGACTCCGTCTCAGATCTCGAGCATGCGGCTGTGCTAGAGCATGCTCCTGTGCAGCCAGCCGCAAACTTGACTGCTAGTGATCCTTGCGAGGAGGGCGAGGGATCGGACGAGCTTGTGGTACACGAGGAGCTACCCTGTCCCTCTGTCCTGCAAGCGAAGCAAACCGTGAAGAAGCTGGGCAAGAAGGAAGTGGAGAGGGAAGAAGACCCAGAGAGCGAGATGGTGTCAGGGGGTGAGGAGGAGGAGGAGGAAGAGGAAGAGGAGGAGGAGGAGGAGGAGGAGCACAAGGAGTCAGCGAAGGAGAGCTGGCTGAAGCGAGTGGCAGCTGGCGTGATCCACGGGGCTCGCAAGGGAGCCTGCGCCATGACAGGGTCAGGAAGCGCTACACCTCGAGGCCTGCTGGGGATGGCGGACGCGATGAGCGACAGGGAGGAGAAGGGAGGGTCGACACCGAAGCCCGAGATCAAGGGAGGAGTCATGAAGAAGAGCGCACAGCCTGAGAAGCCCAGGAAGTTCGGCTCCCAGGACCTCAGCGTTGCCCTGCAGGGCCCCCAGTTCCGGTCTAGCTCAAGGCGGTAGATCTCATTGAACTAAGTGACTCTCTCCGACTCTGCACTGAAGGGTACGCTGTGTATGCCAGTGGATCCGGGGCCCGGGGTGGAGTACGGTACGCCCGGCGCCGCCCGGGCCGGCCGAGCGCCGGGGGGCCGCCGGGAGGCGGCTGGCGGCTGGGCCGCGGCCGGCCGCCGGGGGCGGTACGGTACGGTACTAGCCCGGGGCAGCGGCTCCCGCTGTCCGATCATGCCCCGGCGATACGGTGGCACTGGCATGTCGTGCCGCGGCACTGTGACGGAGGGCTGAGCGAGGCGAGTCTGGCGCAGTGCCCGACCGCTGTGGGTGGCCGTTCAGAGTCGCCCCGGCCCGGGCCGTGTGACTCTCCGGAGTCCGAGGCTCAGTCCTACTCGCTCGCCGTCGGAGGCGGCCCGGCCGCCCGGCGGCCCGGGCGCCGTTGGGACTGATTTGCAAGTTAAGTGAAAAGTTCAAGTCGGTTGGATATGTAATGGAGAATTAACGGCTCTGAAATCTTGCAGCCTCTGTAACGGCTGTCAGCTTTTAGATCTGAGAGGTCCTAGAATGGTCCTAGTCCAATAGGCCTTCCTACAAAGGGGTCGCGTGTGGTTCTAAAGGGAGCCTTAAGGGTAGGGGTAGTAAGTTAGGTAAATAGGGGTAATGAGTCAGTCAGGGGTAGGGGTGCTGGGTACAATCTTGGATAAGACCGGGTAGGGTAGTCTGAAAGCATGGCAAATGTAGGGTACTTCCATTTAAAATGAAGGGTGGGGGTACAGATTGTCGGAGTGCGTGGGGGTGGTGACCTCTAAAGGGAGAATGGAATGGAGGAAACAGGGGAGTGTCGGACAGCGAGTGAGGGATGATGGAGAGAAGACGAACAAGACAAGAAGAATCGCAGAAAGTGCGATATTGAAGAGAAAGGAAGATTGATTGGCAGATGCTGAGATGCGGAGGAGATGAAGCATTGATGTACGCGGCATCCCGGAGTGTAGAAAGTGTGTGTCAGGGTAAAACCTGAGGTTGACACATGAGACATCGAATGGAAGTAGGCACGTCATGGTATGCAGTGCTCTGTAAGAAGTCTTTCAACACGACATATAGCAGTGCGACGCAATATCGAGAGTTGATTGGAGAGAAGAAAGGTCCTGCGTACGGCCAGGCTCGATTACGAAACTTTTCGTGCAGAAAGGGACAACTTTTCGTAGTTGTGGTTGTGACGAGGCTGATAGGAGCAGACACCTTGTTCGAATCTAAGTTAGGCCACTCATGATCTGATTTATCTCCTTATCCTCCTGATATGAGTTTTCTTCTGATAACGTGTTCGTTCGAAGTTCTGAAAGGACACGGTCGGTTAAACTCCAACGAGGAGTAGAAATGGAAGAACTCTTTGCGGCACACAGACGTTTGGGCGTGGCTGTTAACTCTACAGATGATGAAGTAAGATTTCATTCGATCTCTCCCTCCTTGGAAGGCGTCCCATCACGTGGCGTGCTCTAATCGCATGTCAATCAGCTAAAAAGGGCTTTTCGAAGACTAGCGCTTCAGCATCATCCGGACCGAGCCAAGGTCCCTTCATCTTCTCCATAGCAACTCCTGAAAGAAGGTTTCTCCAGGTCTCTTCCGAGGCCTGCTCGCGTCAGTTCCTTGAAGCTCAAAGGGCTTATGAGATGATATGCGACTACCGCAAGCGGCGGCAGCTTGCGCGCGAGTATGCCGCTAAGGGACCGTCACCCGCTACAGCAGAGATGCATCAGGCAGCAGGTGAGGATCTTGTTACTCTCTTCTGCCCTGTGACCCGGGCCATCCTCCATCACAGCTGCAAGTGCCGCCGCCTCTCGTGCTCCAAGGGTGATGAGCAACATGACGGCAGCGATGGCAGCAGGCGCCATCGTCTGCGCCGGAGTGTACATGGGGACATTGAAGTACAGGTGCGCGATGCCCTTTACCACCTTGTGTCCAGCTGAAGAGGAACAGGTTTGCCAAGAAGGCTCTGGAGAGACACTTGTCCGGGAGCTACGTGGTGAAGGCCGAAGAGGCTCAAGTGAGCGCATGACGAGCAAAAGACACTTAAGGACGTTCTAGGATAACGGGGATACGCATTAAAAGAGGAGCATAAGGGGATGAAGTCAGTCCGACACAATTCCTTGTCGCAAACTTTAATCTCGAGCAACACGCAGAGAACGCAGCCAAAAGAAAAGGCATCCTCACGAGCCCGGGATTTGCGAGTTCAAAAATATTCGGCGGAAAACTCACAATCACCACGCCCTCCCCAGCCGGCATTTGATCCCCAGCTCGGGATTACCGGAGGCAATACTGACAGCATCTCAGTGGGTGATAGTATCTACAGGCTCTTCATGCAGCATTGAGCCGATCAGGGCTACGGTTCCTCCGATGGCGACGAATCCTCCCATGATCGGTCCCCACGTCGTTACTCCCTCCGTGGCTGCTGATCGGAAGTGGGTGGCTGGTCCAGAACCAGTGACGTTGTTCGCTCCATTACGAGGGTCAATCTTTGGTTGTTCCTGTTGTGAAGGAGCTGGAGCAGCCTCAAGCTGACTGCAGGAGTGTCAGACAGAGTGAGATAGGAAGGAGGGTGGGGCAGAGAGGGGGCAGGGGCTGGAGAGGAGGAAGAGAAGGAAGAGCAGTATGCAGGGTGGGTGGGAGGGAGGGCAGTGGGAGAGAAAAAGGGAGAGGAGGAGGGAGAGGGATGGAGGAAGGGAGAGAGGGAGAGAGGAAACAAGGGGAGAGGGAGAGGGAGAGGGAAATGCTTACCTTGTCCACATGGACTTTTTCAGGTCGCAAAGCGACGTACATTCTTGAAACATGGTGGCTGACTGTGGGAAAGAGTTTGTCAGGATGACAGAAAAGATGGTTAGCAATGCAAACAAGGTGACTGAAAAATGCAATATATCGATTGACTGGAGGCAATCGACGACTGCCGGATCGAAAGAGAAGGATTGGAGCACACCAGGCAAGGAAAGACAAACATTTGAATTTTCTTAAAACAAAATGACCGAAGCATTTCATTCAAGGCAGTCTTTGACCAAAACAAACAGACACAAATATAATGATCGAAAGTACAAGGAAATTTTGCTAACGAACAAATGCATCATCAGCAACCTCGAGTTTGGTCACATAACAATACCAAATCAGACCAAGTCATGCAACGAATCATCCCCTCCAAACACAACTGCCAATCGCTCCATCTGCTGACAAACTCCCATAGAATTCCATTGGACATGTACTAGAGCAGCCCTTCATCCTTCTCACAGCCTCATATCAAAATCATTCATTGTTTTTGCAGACTTGCTATCACAAGTGAAAGGAATCGAAGAGCAGCGTCTTTCTGTTGAAGACTTCACACTACCCTGTCTCTCTTAAGCTCTTTTTGACGGGCTGTGTAACTATCATCATTTTCGGTATCAAACCCTCCCCTCCCCTCCCCTTCCTCCCCCCCCACCATCCCTTCCTATAATGTTTTCCGCCCATGGCGACCAGAAATAGTTGTCCGTTACGGTAACATCAAATTCCGTTACATCAAGTCAACGTTTCTCGGAGCCCCCCGGGGTAGTAGGTGACTCGGCAGCCACTCGGAGCAGGCCCGGGTCTGAGGGGATGCGGGGCCGTGTTTGGTGGGCGGCGATGGGGATTCCTTGGTTGGGGGATGTTGGAAGGCGGATGAGGAGGAGGGGAGGGAGAAGCATCAGCGTTGTTTTGAGCTGCATGTTGTCTCTCAGAGTGTGTCAGGGACTTGGCATCAGCGAGAGACTATGGACTACGTCGGACTTGTGCGGTTTCAAAGGCGTCACATCTTGCAAAGGCGCCTTGTTGTTAGCAGATGTCGGTGAGATCGTACAAGAGAAGCCAAGAGCGCCGACATTCCTCCGAGGTGCAGCGGCCGGTGCGATTGCGGGTGCATTTACTGAGGTTGTGCTATACCCCATCGACACTCTTAAAACCAGACTACAATCTACCGGCGTGGCGAAGCTGTTACGTAGCAGGAACGTTATTAAAAGCCTATATGCGGGATTGCTTCCGAGTATTGCGGGATCGGTCCCAGCAAGGTATGAACACGAAGATATTTTTCTTTGTTTCTTTTGGAACACGCTGTGATCCCTCCTTATATTTGTGTTTTTCTAGCGCAATCTTTTACATGGTATATGATCAGGTGGTGAGACATTGGAAAGGTGAAAGCAAAGAGGTCTCCCATCTCCTGGGCGCTACCGTAGGAGGCATCGGTAAAACTCCATTCCGCTCCTTGTTGCTGTCCTTGAATACCTTTGCCTTGTTCCAGTGTCTTCTGTCATCCGTGTCCCTAGCGACGTCATTAAGACTCAAATTCAAAGCGGCAATATGTTTGGAGTTCGAAATTCGATTGCGACGTAAGGATGACGTATCTCTTCTCTGTGCTTCTGAACATACACAAGCGTGCTGAGGTCGCGAGGTTGGCGAGGAATGTATGCTGGGTATCTGGCTTTCCTGATGCGCGACATTCCCTTCGACGTCATCGAGTGAGCATAAGTTTCCCAGCCAATCCTCTGTCTCTGACCATATCGGTCGCAGGTTTGGTTCATATGCCAAGTTCAGGGAGCTGTATTCTGCAGCATCCAAGGGTGAGGGCAACCTCAAGTGAGTACTCGGTGATGGGACGATGGATGTATGACAGAGATGTGTACCTAGTCCCTTCGAAGACTCCATGCTGGGAGCAATAGCTGGAGGACTGGCAGGAGCAGCAACTACTCCCCTTGATGTCCTGATGACTCGGCTGATGCTACAGGTCACGTCAAGTTTTGTTTTTCCTCCTGCTGAGCCTTGAAACGCACAGGCACAGTCTTCCCAAACACCCAGGATAAGAGCTGTCCTCACAGAACTCCTCCATCGGGAGGGACCTGCAGGTAAATCCTCACGATCTCTTGTGTTTCTGCATTGCGATGGGGTGAATGGGGCGTGCAGGACTATTCAAAGGCATCGGTCCCCGTATTGCTTGGCTGGCAGCCGGGGGCCTCTGCTTCTTCGCTGCCCTAGAGCAGGCGAAGCATGCCCTTGGCCTCGATGAGCAGAGATGACGTCATGACGTCCAGACCCTCTTGTAAATATTTCCCCGTGCATTGCAAGTGAAATCACGTTCCGGAGGACAGTGCTGTTCGCGCCATGATTCTTTGACGGGGCCTTGAAACCTCTCCTCTTCAATTTTTTATTAAGTTTTTATTTATGAACCTGTTGAACCTGCTGACCCCACCCCCCTGGTGTATTAATATCTCGGTACCAAATCTTGACAACCCCCACCCTCCGTTTTACAACTTCTCCTATTAGACCCCTTTAATGCATAACCAAATCACCCCTATCAAGGACCAGTGCATGTACCACCCCCATGGCAAGGTTTCTTGCACGAACTACCACCCTACCCTTCTTTACGACCATGCAACCGACCCTCCTTGGAAACATATCCTTTTTTTGCAGATACGAAACTATCCTGGTGGGTGGGCCCACCCTCCTGAATCTACAGCACACACCCTTCTTGAAGGCTACCCTATACCAGATTATCATTACCCCTTAAATACCAGTCAAACACGGGGTACTTTGATTGAAAATACATAACCCTACCCCTTCAAATCTCCACCCCACCTATAGCTCGAATTGCATCTTCTCACCCCACCCCGGGTCTCTGATCCTCACGTATCGTACCGATTTGTTCGCGGGTACCCACCCATCTTGATGACGAATATTTTGGTGGAAAGGTAGGGTACCTCTGCAGACATCCAGCATCGTCCCATGGAGTTGACCCGGTTGTACCCCCACCCCCTGATACTTTCAAGTACCCCTCCATCTAAAACCATCTTAAAGGAAAACCACCCCAAGAAAGTACCACTTAAAAGCAACCACCCCCTGTTGTGATTTATTGGGAACTACCCACCCCCTCGCATAGCTGTCACCCTGATCTCATGCTAGCGTCGTCCCTCCAGCATGGCCCGATGCCTCACCAGCGCTTGTCATGCTCATCGTTCCTCCCACCCACATAACCCCCTTGCTCGCCCTCCCAACTTTGTATCCTGCTGTTTCAACGTCTCACTCTCTTTCTATCATATCTTCATCTCCACCTGTATCTCCTCGTTCTACCTGCTTGCAAGGCATGCTACCCTTGCTCTCTGATCCTTCATGGCCTTCCTAACCTATCTCTTGTTTCGTCTATTGTTGTTTGTTGCTTTCTATCATCGAAAACTTCTGGTTCAGTTCTTTTGTACTCCTTGTCCATCTGGCCAGCCATCTCTCCATGTTACTACTTGGACCTCGCTCAAGCTCATAACTGATTCCTCTTCCCACCTCCGCCTCCACCTTGCTTCCCTGCCGCACGCTCATCTTTATCAATATCGTCACGTATATGTGAGATCGATGGCTGGACTCACTTCTCAATCTTCTACACCGTGTTTTGATACGCATCTTCTCAATCTTCTACACCATATTTTCATACGCATCCTCTTCAATGTCGTTGGCCATGAGAAGTTGAATATCTATCAAGTTATTGGATTCTTCCGTTCAAAGCCCTTAACTTACTAGGTAACCCTGATTCCTTGTTCACTTTTTGCTGGTGTAGGAGTCTTGGATGGGAGTAAAGCGTCGGCTAGCTATTGATGTCACTATGGTATCGTCACTCCTTTGAGTCGAGCTCCCTTTGAATCAGATCGTTATCGACAGGGAATGGTGGCAGATGTCTTGCTCTAGATGATCAACTGGACAAGGAAGAATGGAAGGCAATTTTTACTTGGAAGAATTTGATCGCGTGATTTTGACACGAGTGCAGGTGGCATGTTACCAGACCCGATGCCTTCCAGGTTCGGTGTAGGGGACGCCGACGCTGTCAGGCAGCGAAAGGAGGTGCGAAGTTTGAACGTCAATGGTCGGATGTTGGTTCGATTGACATACTTTGCTCTCACTGCAGGCTGAGAACCGAGCGTATGAAATCAAAATTTCGAACACCAGCAATCCCATTCATTTGCAATGGATTTTGGGGAGACAGTACCCTGTTCTGGAGGGACAGCTATATTTTATGTCAATAAGTGATTTTCGCATGCCTTGCTGCAAGGTTAGAATGCTGATGCAGCACTAGGAGAGGAAGCGAAATTAAAGGAATTGATTGAGACAAGAAGGCGGCGGGGTCAAGATGATAGGTGCTTGTTCACTACGTACCTATGGCTGCGACGTCAAAATTTGTTTCCAGGGATTTTTTCTCCATAGACAACGAACTTCTATATTTCCCTTTCTGTGCTGATTTTGGACCGTTGAACTATGGTAATTCAGGACGACAAACAATGATTTATTTGCACTCATATGCGTTTAGGGTGTGTACAGAAATTTATTCAGGTCCTCAGAAAGAAACTCGATTTCTTTCCAAAGGTGCTCTAGTAGATACGTCTGTCTAGAATAATTTGTTTGTCAAAAGCATGGGAAGTCAGTTGTTCTTTATACATCTGCGGATCCGAAATCACGAACAAACGCTGCAACATTATTGGGGTGTTTTTTGGTGAGTCATTGCATTGACATGTAGCAATCAAGATGCTGAACTACAATAAGGTGTTAGAGATGGATATGACTCCTGAAGAAGCCTGGGCACCGTTCGAGTGAGCTCATCGAGTGTATTGATTGAATTCTTGGCTTCCTGACTTTCAATCTCAGATTTTCCAACGCAGCTCCCTTTATTCCTTTCCATGAAGCTTCCTTCGAATCTGACGATTTCAACCTTGTGCCTATTGATGTCCTGCAAGGCCTGTATAAAGCGAAACAGTGAGACATTATGCGCGTCAAGAGGGAACTTTCTGATACTTGGATAGGAATGGACTGCTGAGACTGGATGACTTTGACATCGAATGGTATGATTACTGCGACCATCCGAACCATGCGGATCTACATGAGATAGTTCCTGGAAAATTTGTGGCTTTCAAAGGACCCAAGGAAGAGACCGTGTACCATAAAGATACCGGAGTGATGTATTTAGCTCCCAAGGTGCTGTCCCGAATTCGTCATCTCACTTGTTTGAACTGCTTGCCGTCAGGAATATTTCACCATCTTCCAACGACTGGATGTGACAGCGGTCGTCCGTCTCAATGAACCTCAGTACCGGGCTGAGGACTTCAAGGAAGCTGGTTTCAATCACTACGACATCTACTTCGATGATTGCTCCACTCCCGATGAGGAGGTTCTCAACACATGGTTCGATGTGTGCAGGGCAGAGCAAGGCACGATAGCAGGTACACAAGACTTGCAATGTTTCCGAGTACCTGACGTGTCGATGTGTGCTAGTCCACTGTAAAGCTGGTCTTGGGAGGACAGGGACTCTGATATGCGCGTGGCTGATGAGGAAATATCGTTTCACAGCTGCAGAGGTGATAGGATTCATTCGGGTGATGCGACCTGGAAGGTAGATCCCTATTCCCGGTCTTTCTCCTGCCATTTCCTCTTTTCCTATCAATTCTTTTCACTCTCCTTCCCTTCAGTTGCTCAACCTCTTCTTCGCTACCTCCATGTCCCAGCCATTCCTCGGTTTCTCTGCATCCCAATCCCTACCCTCCCCCGCCCTGCCCTTCTACTGTCGTCTTGTCTTCTCCCTCCTCATTCTTCTCGCAGTGTGTTGGGAGATCAACAAACGTTTCTGGAAGACAACGAAGACATCTTGTGGAGTCTGGGTGATCCAGATCTTCCACCGATCCATCCTTGTGGAGATTTACTGGTGTCGGATGTCGAGCCTGATACGGAAGAGGACTTGCGAGCGAAGGAGGCAGCGGCACGGCGGGCAAAGGAGAACACGGAAGCGATGAACAGGCAGGCGGCTATCAGAGCAGCAGCAGCAAGGTAAAGGCAGGAGGACATTGGAACAGGAGCAGGCAGGGGGCAATGGGGATGGGGATGGGGATGGGGATGCGGGATGGGGGATGATAGGTTCGAAACACTTTGTACACTTGCTGATAAATATTTCTCTCTGAAAGGGGATACAGCAGCTTCTTCAAGCTAATCGGCTACTGTCATTCTAAATTCTGCTTGTCTCATGTCCTTAGTGATCGAGGGTTGATGGAAGGCTGCTATAGCCTTGAAGACCCTTCTCCTCTTGCTCCTCCTCGTTCAACACCGCATCTTGCAATGATATCTCTAGCATTGAACACCCATACTTCCTGCACGTTTCTTGGAAATATGGATCTCTTTATCGCATAATCAGACCTGCAATTGAGCTCGTCCACCAATGATTTACGGCGTGTGATCTAATCATCTATTCTCTGTTCATCTGCTCATCTATCATCTGTCATCTATTTATGCCTCATCTACTCATCTACTCATCCATCTTCTACGATCACCTACGATAACCTGTATTCTTCTATTCTTCTACTCTTCTACTCTTCTACTCTTCTATTCTTCTACTCTTCTACTCTTCTATTCTTCTACTCTTCTACTCTTCTATTCTTCTACTCTTCTATTCTTCTACTCTTCTACTCTTCTATTCTTCTATTCTTCTACTCTTCTACTCTTCTACTCTTCTATTCTTCTATTCTTCTATTCTTCTACTCTTCTACTCTTCTACTCTTCTACTCTTCTATTCTTCTACTCTTCTATTCTTCTATTCTTCTATTCTTCTATTCTTCTACTCTTCTATTCTTCTATTCTTCTACTCTTCTATTCTTCTATTCTTCTATTCTTCTATTCTTCTATTCTTCTATTCTGCTACTCTTCTATTCTTCTATTCTTCTATTCTTCTACTCTTCTATTCTTCTATTCTTCTATTCTTCTATTCTTCTATTCTTCTATTCTTCTATTCTTCTATTCTTCTATTCTTCTATTCTTCTATTCTTCTACTGTTCATCTATTCACATATTCATCTACCTTCTTTGTCCATCTATGTTCATCTATCATCCTTTCTCTGTGCTTTGAGCTCATTATGTGTGCCCTACGTCGCTCTCCCGCATTCCTCAATGCCACATCATATCATAACCGGCTTTTCAACAGTACCCCTACCCCTTCTTGACATAGTATTGGTGCTGTTAGGGTAGGGTACAACCGGTCAAACTTCGGAGAGGAAAATTGAATCCCGAGGGGAGCGGGAGGAGCGGGAGGAGGGGGAGGGGAGGGGGAGGAGGGGGAGGAGAGGGAGGGGGGAAGGAGAGGGAGAGTGGGCAGGAGAAAGAAGGTAGGATGGAGGGGCAGGTACGGGGACAGGGAGAAGTGGGGACAGGGTGAGACAGGGTGAGCTTGGGGGGGAGTGACACAAGTAAAGAGAATGAGTCAGGGAGATGGCAATTTACAAAAGAGAGATTGGGGCAAGAGAGGATGATGGGATGAGAAGATGGGAAGTGCTTTCAGACATGTTACTCTTGAAATTCCGTGGCAAATGAGAATCTGAGAACCTTGCCAGGCTGTATAAAATGCTTGCGCAGCCACGGGTTGACTTGCTGCTGCGGTACACCAAGTAGCACAGAAACAGTTCGCACGGTCCCAGCATGGACCCAAAGGTGCAACACCTCTCATGCTCTTGCTGCTACTTGTAAAAGTTTCCTAGCTGGAAGCGCTGCTCGCAAAGCGAAGAGCAGCGGCTGATGCCTCGCCGAGCGGCCCTTCTGCGAGGAAGGAGAGCAGCGTTCTGTCAGAGGTGCCTCATCGTCGAGACAGATCAGATGAAGGACTCATGTCTTGACCGCAGGAAGCTGAGACGAGGAGGAAGGGTGAGGAGGACAAGCTGGAGAACGCTCTCACGGCAATCAGCACGCGCATTCAGATCCATGAAGCGGTTTACGCAGAGGAGAAGTCGAAGCTCGAGGTCTGCTCCCTGCGCTTCTGTTCACTCTCCTTGCTGAGCCTGAGCGGCAGGACGTCTTGAAGAAGTGCAAGGAGTGCGAGCAGAATCTCCAGCAGCTTGAGGAGGAACAGAAGACCAAGTCGAAGAAGTGGAGTCCATTCCTCAAGTACGTACAGGAGGAGGAGGAGGAAGGGAGGTTGAACAGCTTGCAGGACGAACAATGCGCAGAGGGCTCGAGTTGACGAGGTGAGGAGCGAGTCCAGAGGAGGTGAAGGAGGAGTTGAAGGGTATCGCAGACGCGGAGCCAGCTCTCGAACCTCGTCTCTATGCGTTTGCTTGCTGAGCAGAAGGTGGAAGGGGCGAGGCAGGCGGTCAGCTGCGCTCTCCTGCTCCTCTTCCTCTTGACTCTACGTGTCTTAGATCGAGCGAGCGAAGGTGGAGAAGGAGCATGTGATAAGCGCTCTCGCTGCTACAAGACTTCGTCGAGGTGCTTCATCCTCCTCGGGACCACCCTCCACCTTCCTCGTTCCCTTCGCCTCCCTCCCCCCTTCCCTCCTTTGTCCCCTCCTGCCTCTCTTCCTCCTTCCTCCCCACCTTCCGTCCTTCCATCCTTCCGTGTCTCCTTCCTGCCTTCCTCCCCTCCTGCGGGTGAGGACTGATGATCAAGTCAGATCTTCTTCAGAAAGCCGCGACGCTGGCAGAGAAACCGGCCATGAATGCTGGAGGCAGCGACTCGGAGGACGGCAGGCAGCAGCCGAAGAAGAAGGAGATGACGCTGACTATGAAGGGGATCTCCCTTCCCGATAATGTGCCCATCGCTCCTCCTTCAACCCCTGTCAATGCTAGGAGCGGGGGCAGCCTAGGAGGAGGAGGAGGAGGAGGAGGAGGAAGCAGCGGAGGAGGAGGAGGAGGAGGAGGAGGAGGCAGCGGAGGAGCTGGAGGAGGAAAAGGAGGTGGTAGCCTTGGAGAGGGACGGGGCACCGAAGGCAACGAAGTTCTGCTTGCCCGTTTGGCTCGCGAGAAGAGGAAAGAGGACGAGGAAGAGAAGACGAGCACTCCTGATCAGAATGCTTCTCCTCCTGCCTTCTCCTCCCTCAAGCGACTTTCCCCAGTCGTGATCCCCCACAGATCGGCAGCGGAGGGGCCAGGGGAAGCAGCAAGCGCCTCGTCCAAGACAACAGAGCAGGTGATCTCTGCCTCGACCTTGTTTTGGGTAACGAGAAGCAGGAGAAGGAGAAAGTGGAGGTTCCTTCTGCTATCAAGAGGGCTGCAGCAGAGGTGCGGGGGCAGAGGAGAGCTCTGGCGCGATGGGCATGCGGGGCTGAGGTACTTGGATGCAGGAGGACAGAAAGGGGAGCAAAGGAGGGGAGGTGAAGCAACAGCAGCAAGACGATCTCATCTCATGCTCATTGTCGGACGAGTCGTCGGACGAAGGGGTACGAAAGTTGGAGGGAAGGAGGAAGCAGGAGAGAGAGGAAACAGGGAGAGGAAAGATGGAGGAAGAGGAGACAAAAACTGCTGGGACGGGGGAGAGGAGGTGAGAATAGTTTACATTCTGAACGATCCGTTTCAGGTCTTTGATCTGAGTCGTTCAGTCTCTCTAAAGCCCATCGATGATAATTATCTGCCAGGTATGCGCCAAAATCACTTTATCCTCCTGCCAACTCCTTCTCCTCCTTCCCTCTGCTCATTCCCTCTCCTCCCTCCCCCCCTCCCTCCCTCTCCTCCCCCCTCTCCTCCTAACTCATACCCGCAGAATTGTTACCAATGGGAGAAGTAGACGATCTCACTGCCTCCTCACAGTCTCGAGCAGATACGAAGCTCTCGTCTTTAGATCGTTACATCAGGGGCAGGTGCCAGCATCCCCCTCCTCCCCCTCTTCCTCGTCCTCGTCCTCCGCCTCTCCCTCGTGCTCTCTCCTGTCTGCTCCTGACCGTGATGAAGCTCTCCGACTCGACTTGCACCATTCAGCTACCGCCAGGAAGAGGAGCAAGTGAGCGAGAGAGGCGAAGGAAAATGAGGAAAATGTGTTGGGGAGGGGTGGGGGCAAAGTGGAGGAGGAGGAGGAGGAGGAGGAGGAGGAGGAGGGAGG